GCGAGCAGATCCTCGCGGAATACATGGCAAACCCAAAGGACGTATCACGGGCGCGCGGCGGAAGCCGTACGGCCCAAGGACGGCCCATGGCTACGCCTACAACCCGAAGACAGACCGAGGGTCTGAAAGAGGAGGGGACGCAAGGGAAAGCTGTGAGCAGCTCCCATATCATGCACGTATTAGAAACCATCACCAATTCAATGAAATTAAGTTCTTAAGAGGAGATGTTATTCTACAAATACACTATGAAGCCCCAAAACTACTAGAGAACTCACCCACTAAGCTGGAGGATCCTGGCGAGGGCTGGGGCGGAAGGGGAAGCTCTCATCCTTATCATCCGCCTGAGCGGAAGGACGACGGCGCTTAGTAGGGGAACCACCAGGCTCGCTCAGGTAGGGTGCCGCAACCTCATGAGCCCCAGGAACCTCAGCACCATAGTAGTAGTAGCGCCGCTCCCGACCCGAGGCGTTGCCGGACTTGTGGAAGGAAGCAGCCTCAAGGGCAGCATCAACAACAACGTTGGCAGGCGCGTTCAAGCCCTGGGAACCTACGCCAGCAGTATAGCGCTCAAGATTGAAGGTGCGGGAGACTTGACGGGCCTTGTACCAATCAGTCTCACTCATCTTAGACTCAGTGATCTCGCGCTTGAGCTGGGCAGCATGCTCAATAAAGCCGGCGCGGAGATCTTTCGCGTAGTCGAAGGCGCGCTGCCAGTGTGCCGCGATGCGCTGATCACCATCAAGCATGGTCATCTCGTCCGCCCAACCTCCTGTTGTCATGGCCTGGATGCTCTTGCGGGTGGCGTAGTCGACGAGGTACATGAGGATGTTAACGGCGCGGCGAAAGTGAGGAGCAACCTGAGAAACATTAGCAGGAGTCATCATACTAGCAGCCACAACACTCACTGGAACACAACCAGCCTTCTTGGCAGTACGGCAACCGTTGCAGACACCGTAGGTGGAGTTGCGGACGCAGAACTGACCCTCCATAAAGACCCGGGCGAGTCCCTTCATAGTCCCGTCGCTGAGCCCGGCCTTGCTCGGAGTCGACAGCGACGCCACGCAAGATTGGCAGGCAGACCTCACTAGCTGGGGTTGAGCTTGCAGATGCTGAGGCAGGACGAGGACATGAGGAGGCAAGGGAGTGTTGGAGATGGAGCCAGGAATGGGAATGGAGTGGATAGCCATGATGGTGTTGTTGCGATGGACTGTTGTTGTTGTGATGATGAAGGTTAGATGCAGAAAAGACTCCAAAAGGCTGCAACTTATACCCTCTCACCCAGCACCGCAGCTCGCCCTCTTACATGGCCGAAGGGTCTCCGCAGTCGCTGCGTAGACTCACCGCTCGCCCAACAAAGGCGTTGCAAACACAGAAAATGTGCTTAACACGAGCGACAACACCGCGCAAACACTGAGCCACGAGTTGAGCAGTCACAGTGCAAACGGGCCAAACGCCCTATCATTCACTGCGGTGGATCGGGGAGATGGCTAGGTAGTATGGCTGCGGCCATGGCGACCCAAAGTGCGCGGAGCATAACAAGATTTTTTTCCTCACAGAGGTTTTTCACATGCCCCCCAGCGTTTAGGTTACGGGATGACTACGGGATGTGATCGGGCTAGCAACGCGAACGAAGTAACATGTGAAGCGCAGCTCGAACACTAAGCGCGCAGCGATCGTATTGGCATCATAAACCCGCTGCGAGAGTCGGGACGACTCTCAAGAAAGGGAGGGGCTATTGTCACGATGTTCCAATACCACAGGTTCCAGCCACAGGCAGGCAAGCCACCGGGGACCCTTCGGGCCACCGTCGGCCCTCACCAGCCACGATCACGTGACGTAGGTATATATCATCCCTCTAGGAGTCTTGATAGCTCCTCAAGGATTCGTCTCAATACAAGCCTATACCAATATCTCAGTGCCTGCCCAAATACTCCTCACACTACCTTTACCTGCAACAATAACAACAACAACTACAGCTGTATATATACAATATTATTGCGCCTCTTTTTAACTCTGCTAAGCCTGGCAAGCTTAGTAGAGGTGTATAATAGCTTTTTTTTTAGCTGTTCAAATCGCGTGTAACGTGAGTGCTAGGCGAGTGGCGCGGCTAGGCGAGCGGCGCACCCCAATGAACTTTTGCACCTTTGAACTTCAAACCTTAATGTCTCAACCACCCAACCTCGAAGAGCTCTCAAAAGAAGAGAGAATTAAAGAAGCCCTTCAAGCCATTACACCGCCTCAAGAACTAAGCTTGCGACGCGCTGCCGCCGCCTACAACGTGCCTGAAACGACCCTTCGCCGCCGACGCGCTGGGAAGATGTCGCAACGCGATACTCACCCTAAATCATCAAGCCATCAAAGGACTGAAGAGGAGGCGCTTAGACACTATATTAAGATGCTAGATGCGCAAGGATTTGCGCCAACACTGCGTTCTGTAGAAGATATGGCCAACAAACTACGTGCTGCGCGTGGTGACAAGCCTGTTGGCCCAAGATGGGCTCAAACTTCGTTAAACGCGAGGGTGAGCTCAAATCCCGTTTAAATCGACAGCGCAATCGTCAGAGAGTCTTGTGCAGCGATCCAGAGGTTATCCGGCCCTGGTTTAACCTTGTACGGAATGTTAAGGCCAAGTACAGCATACTAGACGAAGATACCTACAACTTTGACGAGACTGGCTTCGCGATGGGCGTTGGAAACCGAGTTAAAGTAGTCACTGCTTCAGAGAGACGCACTGAGCCTATTGGCGTCCAGCAGGGAGACCGTGAGTGGGTGACTCTTATCGCCGCCGTCAACGCGATGGGCTGGGCAATCGCGCCCTACCTTATCTTTAAAGCAAAGAACCACGACGTGTCCTGGTTCCCTGATCTAAAGCCTCAATGGCGCATTGGGGTTAGTAATAACGGCTGGACTACGAACGAGATTGGTGTAGCCTGGTTGAAGCACTTTATTGAGCAGATAAAGGGGCGGAGGGTGGGTAGCTACGTGCTGCTTATAATCGACGGCCACGAGAGCCACAAGTCGCTTACCTTCCAGGCTTTTTGCGAGGAGAACAAGATAATTACCCTCTGTATGCCTCCACACTCGTCGCACATCCTGCAGCCGCTTGATGTGGGATGTTTTGCCCCCTTGAAGCGGGCGTACAGCAAAGAGATTAGAGCCTTGGCAACAGACCACATTGGCCGAATCGACAAAAAGGCCTTTATTGCCTCCTTTGCGAAGGTTTTTGAGCCTGCGTTCTCAAAAACAAATATCCAATCAAGCTTTAGAGCAACTGGCTTAGTGCCTTATAACCCATTGGTGGTGCTATCAGAGCTTGAAGTCAAACCTCGCACGCCAACACCGCCCGCACCAGGGACCACCCAATGGAACCCTAAAACACCAAGCAACGCCGCTGAAGTAGAGACTCAAACTACGCTGCTTCGCGATCGCATTCAAAAACATCAGGGTTCCACACCTTCTCCTATGGTTGAGATGGTTAACCAGCTTAGAAAGGGCACTGAGATGATACTGCATTCACAGACGTTGCTGGCTGCCCGAGTGCTGCAGCTCGAAGCGTCAAACAGAGCAGCTTCTGAGCGCAAATCGCGTAAAAGAAAGCGGATCCAGAAGGGCGGAGACCTGTCAAAGGAGCAGGCAGAGGATTTGATGGCCCAAATAGACGTTGGGGCGCAGATAGAGGGGGAAACGCGTGAAGGTAGAGCCCGAACAGGTGCAGGCAAGCAGCGCAAAAGGCACTGTAGGCGCTGCGGAGAGACAGGACACAATTCGCGTACTTGCGAAAAAGATATAACAGAGGTTAGCGATTAATGCTACGTATTTCGCATTATAGTAGGTTGTTGTAGTGTTGAGTAATAGCGTGCTAGAGGTGCAAAAGTTCATTGGGGTGCGCCACTCGCCTAGCACTCACGTTATAGGCTAACGCCAGGTTTTGGAAAAAATTATTTTTGCACGGCTTGGCATCATGATAAACAGGATACCGAACAAGATACAGTTCAATCTGCCCATCTATGGCTGCAGGCAGCCGCTCAGCTGACAGAACAGCTAATTGAAAAGTGCGTCAAGGGCTTAGCAACGCTGCCGCAGGAAACACAGCGATGGCTTCGTAGTGCGCGGCAGACTGAAGTTGATCAGCGGCCACCAAGGCGACTGCAGAACCCCGAGAGTCAGGCAACGTACGCTGGCTACATAGTCCAATTTGTGTGTTTCTATCTTCGCATCGTTGCGGACGAAGACACCCGAGTAGAGAAGTATCTATCGCAGAGAGATCGGGTTGTTGATAGTAGCGAGTACGACGAAAGCGACAAAGACAACGGCGCCGACAGCACGGATAAAGACAGCGTTATGCCGCAGCGCCGACCACGTAAAAGAGTGCTGGCAGACAAGATGAAAGACGCACGTAAATTGTTTAGCTGGGAGGATAATCAGAAGGCGCTCGCGATCCAGCTGTGGCTTACTCTAGACAGCGGCAACCGAGCGGCTCAGATAGACGCTCTACTTGACTGGTTAAGCTCGTTTGTGCTTACAAGTTATGGCAACAAGGCGTTTTCAAGTGGTTTGTGGCAGTTTCTTGCTATACTAGGCATAGACACGGAGACTAAACGCTTGCGCACTGCGAAAAACCACTCGTACATGCTAGCCGGGCTGGTGTATTGTGTCCGGGTACTTGGAGTCGAGAAGCTTTTTCCCGCAGCAGGGCGCGATAGTCAGACAGAAGAAGACCGCGATAGATTCTGGGAGACGCGCAGGAAGTACTTAGCCGACGGCTCGTACAGTCCGATGAGTAAGATGATCAGTCTTCTAGCATACGGCAAGCACGCCGCGCTAAACGAAGGCAATATTGGCAATGCATACTGGTCACTAGACAAGAAGATATTATATTCCAGGGCGCTAAGATATATGACCAAATGCAACGCTACAAGTATCCCGTAGTTTCTTCTCTATTGAATACAATCTCCAGTATACTTGTGCGATAGCTCCCTGAGCGTAGCCCCTTACACTCTTCACACCAAAGTATCCTGAATAGCATCCATAGCGCGTCTAACAGAGTTCAGGATACTTATACTGGCATCCTCTGCACCTACTACTGAGTCGTAATGTGAGCGCGGCACAAACATCGGGTCCTTGACGAAAATACGAGCGTCGCGCATCTCACGATAGACAGGAGAGACCGCGATCTCTCTGATGTCATTGAAGATCTTCTGGAGTTTGGTGTACAGCTTCTTTGCAATGATGTTGTCGTGACCACACAGCGAGAGGAGATGGAGATGCGAAGATGCGTAAGAGAGGTCTTCGCTGATTTCTTCGCCGTAGAGCCTGAGCAGCTTTTGTGAGGCGCCGAAGAGGAGGATTGCACAACTGGTGAAGCTAGTGTAACTGATATTGCATTAGCGATCTCATGGTCACGATCCTTTTGGGGATTGACGCACATAGATACCCAACAGTGCGCTCGGACTAGATTGTCGATTTGCAGTAGCGAGGCCACTCGAGCGGATTGTCGTGCCGCCAAAATACATAACTCTTCGAGATGTTCCAAGTCCCTCAGATTCTCAATTTCGAGCGGCTTATTGTTGATGCGGAAATTCCCCAAGTCGACCAGACAATTCCGATGAGGCTCGATAAATACACCGAGAAAAAGGACATGGAACTGTAACAGCGACCGCTTCGAGGCCGAGTCTATAGTGAATGGTTTTGCGAGATTGAGCTGACTCAATTGCATGGGTGGTGGGAGTGTACGGTGCCACCGGTTAAGGGACTCGAGGTGGGTACGGGCTTGCTCAGCTTGTGACTGTGTTGCTGTCTTGAGGTCGAGCGCTATATATGCACCTAGTCGGCCGAGTTCGTGAATATGTTCATGGGTGACTGCCAGCCCACTTTCGGCTTGTGAATGGGGGGGATGATATAACTGTGTACGGTCAGTAGACAGTTCGTGGCAAAAGGAGAGGGGTGCAGGTTGCTCGATGAGCTAACTCGTTTCATACAATCATGTCTTCGTAGGTAATTCGTGGTTCGTGATTTGTATTATGTGCAAACCAGCTAAATATATATCAGCAACTAGTCTGGGAGAACAGAGCAAGGGTACACAGACGTTTCTAGGAAGAGGACGCTGCGGAATATGTTCCACCAATACCGTAATTTCTTTTCGGCAGTATTATTCAAAAAAGACGGAGAGAGGAATTGCTGCCTTCCAATGTTGAGTGCTGCCGCTTCTAGCTGTCAATTCATCGTGCATAGATTCAAAGCACCGAAAGTCACTTACACATGAGATTTCTTGCGCTCTCCACATTGCTCGCAAAACGGATAATTGCTAGACAAGCAAAGAGCCGCATACAGCGCAGCTCAGATATAGCAGACGTTGAAGACAACATGTACAAGAAAAAATCCAGGTATCGCTCTTGGAAGAATGTATCATCCGTCTCTCCATCACAATAGCTTCCGACTGCTGCCATTGCAAAGACTTCTGTCACTTGCACCAGTGATCCATCGTTCTGTAGCTGGTAGACGGATCTGACAAGGGCTTTGGCCTCCTCCCGATCCCAAAGATAAAGCAGCGCACCTGTGCCATTGAGGAAGTCGTTAACAGCTTGGGTGCTTGATTCTTCTATTGGATAAGGTGCAACTCTTATCAGATGAGAGCTGATGCCCTGGGAAGTCAAAATATCGTGCACTTCTGCCATCCCACACTCCACGGGTGATATCATATCATGTGTCTGAACCTCAGAACCATGATCGTATGTGTCGAATGCCATCCGTTGATAGCCATCGGAATCATCTTGTTCCGGCAAGTTACATAGTGGAGCAGACGGTGCAGTCTCAGATGGGCGTGGAGCTTTACTGTCGGGTAATACTCGTATCTCTGGCCTGTAACGTCGTTGCTTGAACGACTCTAAGTATGTTAGGTACCTCTGATGGTTCTCTGTGTGTTTGTATCGCTCGAGCTCCTCCTGATATTTTTGCAGTCTTAGAAAGACTGGTCCTTCCCACTTATTCCCTCGCTCCTCTTGTGGGAGCTCTCTCCAGCGCTTTCCAATTACCGTTTCAATGTCGGCAAGGGATACATGGTTAAGTGTTGGATCCTGTCGAACATGTTCGCCAAAGAGTATGTAAGCTGGCCTAGGCTCTTTCGGGGCATCGTTATCTGGTCGCGGATGCGCTATAGGCTGTCTAGTGAGAGAGGCCATGTAGTTGCAGCTTGTGTCTCGCTTCCTGCACTCTGAACATTTTGGTCGGTCGGTCGAACACTAGTGCATGCATTACTAGAATGTCTACACATTAACATAGAAGGGGTCTTCTGTGCTCACCTTTGTTATACGCCCCCTACATGCTTGGCATGCGCCGACGCCTACGATGTGATCAAGAGATAGCATAGACAGCAAGTGGCGATTTCCAAACTTCGATTAGAATCAGGAGGCCATCTTTCTTCATGGCTGGCGCATAGCTTGAAATATAGTACTTACCTACATATGAGAGACGTGATTTAACACCAATTAGTATTATGACGTGAGTAGCGGTAAGCGTTTCTCCACTTTTTGATTACTACGGCATGATAGCCCGCGTCCAATCATAGCGCAGACCTGTACACCATTCATAAAACGTGCACTACAACACGAACACTCAACATCTGTCGCACGGTTGGGTGCGGTGTTGCAAGTACGAGAAATTATGAAGTGTGTATGTCTTGTATTGTTCTAGCATCATAGCTCAGCTTATATGGAGGTCATCGCACGGCGTTATTAGTAATAAGGTTCATGTTCCCGACAGCGCTTGGCCTGCGACACACCCCCTCAGATCTCACTCAGTCTCAGATGAGGTCTGACTGTCATCAGAGTTTGCCTCTTCGTGTCGATGCGCTGGATCAATCCGCGATGAGATATCAACCAGGCCTACATGACGTACGAATCGAGAGTGCTTTTCTGCTGAGAGTGGTTTGGTGAAGCCATCCGAAGGCATTTCAGTCGTTGGAACCCATTGAACTGTGACTTTGCCGTCTCTGTAGACCTGCCTCAGCCATAGGCTATGGATGTCGACGTGCTTTAGCTTTGATGACGTTTGTGGTCTGTCCTTCTGGATCAGGCCTGTCGTCTGCTGGTTATCACAGAGTATGCGAGGTTGATGCTCGGGATCGAACTGTATCTGCTTGAACAGACGGTACAGACCTATTGTCTCTTTCGCTGTGTGTGACAGCGAGAGCAACTCAGCTTCAGTTGTTGACGTGGTTACAGTCTTCTGTTTAGACGACTGCTACATAATCGGCCCCTTGAACAGCTTCATGAGATAACCCTGCATAGATCTTCAAGTCTCTGGATTATCCGCGAACGATGCGTCGCTTGACAGCTGAAGTACCTCTTTATCGCGTGTCTCTACTTTAGTAGTATTTTCCACTAAGCCTAAGAACTCAATAGCATAGTACTTCGTGGCCTAGAGATATGCGAGAACTCGGTTCGCGTAATGCAGGTGCTCTGGTGAAGGGTTCATAGTGAACTGACTTAACTGGCTAGCTGCAAAAGACACATCGGGTCGTGATACTACTGCTGCGTACAGGATCGAGCCTACCTTTTCTTGCATCTCTGTGATCTGTTGAATTGTTGCTTGCCCTTCGTATTGTTGAGGACGATATGACGAGAGGAGAGGCGTTGTAGCCGTTCTTCCAGAGTCGTCTATGCCGAACTTGGTACAGATCTTCTCAATGTACCCGTGTTGGCTGATCCAGAGCTTCTTTTCTCTGGTGTTACGGAGGATGCTGATGTTGAGGAAGGAGATTGCCTCGCTCAAATCCTTGATCCCGTATCTGCTGTTCAGTTTTAGCTTGAAGTCTTTGATAGAGTGGATACTTTCCGGTTGTGCAATGATAAGCATATCATCCACATAGAGAAACAGGATGAGTCCTGTTTGGTTGTTTATGAGGATACATGGTTCATCTGGGCAATGATTGAATCCCAGATCTTTGAGGAACGAAACGAGTTCGTTGAACCAGAGTTTTGGTGATTTACGCAGGCCATACAGCGCCTTTTGCAGCTTCCAGACTTTCCCTGACTGGCGGTACCCAGGTGGACGGGTGGTATATATTTCCTCGTCCATGTCTGCATTGATGAAGGCGTTCTTGAAGTCGATTTGCTGACAAAGAAGCCTAAATGCGCAGACAAGAGCCATTAGGATACGAAAGCTGCGATATGCGCCAGTCGCTGCATATATGTCATCGGTGACCTGATGTTGTAGATCGCCTCTAACGCAGATCCGCGCTTTGTGACGAACGAGGTAGCCAGCGTCGTCAAACTTGTATGTGAACACCCATTTGAGTGGTAGTACTTGCTTGCCATCTGGATGGTGCACTAGTTCAAACGTTTTCTTCTCTTCGAGCGATGCAAGTTCAGCGTCTGCAGCATGCCGGAATCCCTTGCCTTCAGGATGTCGCTTTAGCTGGTGCCAGAAGTCTGGTGGCGGCAATAGGTCTTTCCGGTGTGTGCGAATAGACTGTGCTGTTGCAAAAGCGTGAGCCACTTGCTGACCGAGTCTAGCACGCTCTAGTCGAAGAGCATGAGCTTCGTGTCTTGCTCGCTTTTCTGTATATCGTTGCGTAGCATGTGTGTGTGGGAGGAATCAACGGCGTCTTGCCCTCTTTGCGACAGTCGGATATTTCTTCCAGTACTGGTGCGCAAGTTTTGGAGAGCAGTTGCGTCGGTATTAGTGTCTCTCCCTGTTCTAGGTAATTCTTGTGTAGTGCTTGTTTGGCGTGGAGCTGATCCGAAAGATACTGGAGTGGGGTAGGGCCATCGTACAGATGCGCCTCTCGATATATCTTGTGTGGACGTCTCCCGTAGAGATGCTACTTCTCTTGATCCTGTAGGCAATATCTCTTGATTTTGCGATTCAGCTGACGCTTCTACTAGCTCAACAGCATCACTTCCATTAAGAAGCGCGTCCTCATCTAACTCGTTCATGTCGATGTCATTGAGTACAGTAGATAGTGACTGATCACGTTCAAGAGAAGCTGTGGATTGTCGCGGGTCGTATAGGACTTTCTCATCTATCCTTACGTCTCGTGATGTGATGACGCGGTTAGATTGTGGCGTGTCGCAGACACGAGTATCCCAGGACAGATTGCCGTCGACAGAGTGTGGCAAGGGCTGGCGCCAGTGACTACGCGCAATGAAGACTGTGTCTGTATATTACCTGGTTGCAATGCGCCCTTTATTATGCGGGAAGTGACTACACCAGATGGCATAGCGTATGAAGTTATTGGTGAAGCGTACGTGGAGAGCCTGTCGCATGGAGAGTTTGAGGAGCTTTCGAATCTGAACCTGCAGGAGTTCCGTCTACAGTGCCCGTGCGCGTGACGAGCCAGTTCGCGTGACGAGCCACCCCACCACCCCAGCATTGCGCGTCGTCCCATCTTCAACGCGTCATATCTCCACAACCATGACCCCAATTCAAGAAGCAATTGAATACATCGAATCGCGTGAGGCTGGAGATAAATTTTCGTACCGCCAAGTTGCAAAAAAAATTGGAGTTGATCGAACAACGCTGTCGCGGCGGCACAAGGGCGCGCAGGCCTCCAATAAAGCCAAATCACAAGATCAACAACTACTCAACCCACAACAAGAGGATGAATTAGTGGGATACATAGAAACATGCACAAGGGACGGCTTGCCACCTACACGAGGTATTTTGAAAAATTTCGGCAGCGCGGTTGCGCAGTCAGAGGTCTCCGAAAGCTGGATT